CGTTTCAGGGACTGTACGATATAATAAGTTTGTTTATTATAAAGGAGTGAAGAAGATTTTCAAATAAATAATGTAATTTCACCATTAAATCACTATGGATCTGCCCTAGCAAAACATGTTTACCACTGACCCTGAGGCCATGATATTCATAATTTTAGTAGATGATCCAATGCTTATAACAACTGCATAAACTTTGGTGGTCTTGACCCCATCCCTAAGGACAAAGAGGAACAGGGACCATGAAATTAAAAATTTATGTCCCCTCTTACCCAGTGATGCTTTGTGCCAAACTTGACTGAAATTGGTTGCGCGGTTGCAGAGAAGAAGCTAAAACTGTTCAAATATGAAGTCAGGTGACCTTATAAAAATTGAGGTTCCGATTCAGGTTCTGGCCTATCCTAAGGATCATTATTTCAACAATTTAGAATCTACACTACACCAGGATGCTTCCACATATGTTTAAGCTTTCCTGGCCAGGTGATTCCTAAGAAATGTTTTAATGTCAGACAAACCTCTGTCTTTGCCTTTTCTTGATTCTTGATCTCCCCTTGTAAACAACTTGGCCATTCATTTCAAAAGAAATTAATCTCACCTTTACAGCAAGAGGTACATGGGCTTTATAGGTCACCTACATAGTAAGCCTCTTACAACAATTTTTCAATGATTGAATTTGGTTCATGTTTTCAACTAGACACCATGGAAGTCACAATTTTGAAAAAGGTGCCATTGTTCAACATAACTACATGTATATACTTAGCAATTGCTTAGTTTGATTACCTAATACCCATAAGCAGGGTTGGGTGAAAAATACATTTCAACTAATCAATCAGTCATATTCAGCAGTAACCAGTGGTGCCCCTACCACATATGAACCCCTGACCCTAGCTCCACACATTTCAAAATTTTGGAAAAGACACCCTTGCTTATCAAAAAAATTTGATTAATACCAAGAAGAAGATTTCCAACAATTAATTCATTTTCAGTATATAATCATTATAGCTATATTATTATTATATGTAGTTTATCTGCTTAATACCCTGGAGCAGATTTTCACTAGATATAATCAAAAGAGCCCTGTCCTAACACCAGAACCCCTAATCCTGGGGCCATAACATTCCTAATTTTGGAAGAGGCAGTCTTGCTTATCATAATTATGAATTTGATTAGTTTATTCAGTACCCAGATTTTCATATGCTTACATGTATGATTTTCAAAGATTTCATGCATTTCATCTATAGAGCCCTGCCATAAGATCAGATCCCTTGACCCAGGGTCCATAAAGTTCACAATTTTGGAAGAGGCATTTTTGCTATCATAACTATGTGCTTATTTAGTTTATTTAATACCGAAGAGCAGAGTTGAAGATTTTCAAGGTAATAATGCATTTCCACCATGCAATCTATATAGCTCCGCCCTAGCATTAGAACCCCTGACCCTGGAGCTTTATAAACTTTTGGTAGAGGACTCAATGCTCATCACAATCATGCCAACAGTTTGATCGCTTGATGTCCAGGAGTAAGATTTTTGAAGATTGCATTAATATTAATGGTTTAAACCAACCCTTCCAAGGGGAGCAGGGACCATGAAATTAATAATTTTCGGTTCCCTTCACCCATACATGGCTTATCCCAAAATTGGTTGAAATTGGTTGAGCGGTTGCAAACAAGCTGAAATTAATCAAATGTTCACACTACGTATGACACACCGCACCATGACAGATGAAAACAGATAGCAATAGGTTACTTAGGTGACCTAAACAGATTCATAGAACCAAGTTTGGCTAATAGCCCAGTGGTTTTGAGGAGAAGTAAAAACTGTTAAAATCACATACAAAATGGACAAAGGACGGATGACAGAGAACGGGTGATCAGAAAAAGCTTACTTGAGCTTTCAGCTTATATGAGCTAAAAAGCATAAACTTTTGTCATTAAAATCAGCAACATATCCAAAGAGATTATTTTAATCAGATATTGCAAATGGCCATTTTTTTTTTTAATTTCTTATCAGACTTTGTAACAGAGATAATATTAAATATCTGAAAAAAAAAAATGTCAAAACTTAAAAGAAATAGTAACAAGAGGCCCATGGGCCACATCGCTCACCTGAGCACTGTGGCTAGGAAAAAGCAGAAATCGGTTTATTATTGAAATCCAAAAGTAGTCTTTTGCTGTTCTTGAGAAGATGATTTTTTAAAAAAAATTTCCTCTATATTTCTATGTAAAACTTTGGTTTGCCATTTTGGCCCCGCCCTTCCCCCGGGGGTGATGATTTGAACAAACTTGAATCTACATTACCTGAGGATGCTTCCATATAAATATGTTCAATTATGGCTTTGTCATTCTTGAAAAGAAGATTTTTAAAGAATTTTCCTATATATTTCTATGTTAAACTTTGGTCGGCCATTTTGGCCCCGCCCTACCCCCGGGGGTCATGATTTGAACAAACTTGAATCTACACTACCTGAGGATGCTTCCATATAAATATGATCAAATATGGCTTTTTCATTCTTGAGAAGAAGATTTTTAAAGAATTTTCCTATATATTTCTATGTAAAATTTTGGTCGGCCATGGTGGCCCCGCCCTACTTCCGGGGGTCATGATTTAAACAAACTTGAATCTGCACTACCTGAGGATGCTTCCTTATAAATATAATTAATTATGGCTTGGTTATTCTTGAGAAGAAGATTTTAGGCGTAACAAAAAAATATGTTTGTTTACGGTTACCCGACCGACCCTAATTTTAATCGCCGACCCAAACTTTTTTTTCGTCATAGAAATCCGGAAGTTACTGGCCGGTCCGTTTAACTTTTACATTCATCTTTGAAATCGAAATTGAAAGTAGAGAAACAAAACAAATGAGTTCAATTTCTACATCAACGAGTTCATTGCAATTTGCTTACCATTGCGTGGCAGTTGCAGGAGTGTGCAACTAGCATTGCCCAACACCCGGAGCTACCGTTTTTGGGGGGTAGTAAAAATAAAATTAAAATTATGCATGTATAATTATAAATACATGAGAAACACAAACGATATTTTCACTCATTGTTTTGCTATTTAATTTCCAACTAATGAAAATTTTCCAGGCAGCATGCTCCTACTGCTCTTAAATCACTTTAATCTCATCCATTTTGCAGTACTACCTGACTTATTTACTTAAAAAACGATCGTTTTTTCCTAATCCGAATTTCCTCCATTCCTCTGTTAATGGTAAATACATGCAGATATCTCTTTCAATTATATACGATCCCCAAATCAAATGATAGCTAAGTGTTATGTGATTAAACTCTAATATATACCAATTATACTTAATGGTTTGAAATGAAAATAAAATGATTTTTGCTTCAATTTAGATAAGCTAGAGTAGTGCAATATGTTCAGAAAAGAAAAGATATTTTCTTAAAAGTTTTAAACTTCAACTTTAAAAGTAATGGCTTCGGACCCTAGCTTTCTCAACTATAAACTTTTTAAAATATTAGTTTTTACAGTTTTTTTCCCCAATATTTGGACTGGTCACTTTTAAATTCGGACTAATAACTTTATTGTTGTTACAAGCCTGTGGGTTAGTACTTGATTTTTTTTTTAATTGCACACCCCTGAGTTGTAAGGCAGTTGGCAAGAAAGATTATATTGTCTACCACCCATATTACAAGCCCACACAAAATTAAGGCACGGTACAATGGTAAAACTGCTTTGTAATTCAACCAATTCATGTGAATTTGTGTATTAAAAAAATTCAATAAAATAAGAAAAAATTCCTACCTACCGACCCTATTTTATTTCAGCATGTAACAGTAAACAAAGTTATTTTTTTGTTTGGCCTTAAAAGAATTTTCCTATATATTTCTATCTAAAACTTTGGTCGGCCATTTTGGCCCCTCTCTACCCCCGGGGGTCATGATTTGAACAAATTTTAATTTACAACACCCCAGGATGCTTCCACATAAGTTTTAGCTTTCCTGGCACAGTGGTTCTTGAGAAGAAGATTTTTTTAAGATGCCACCAAATTTTCATTAATTCCTAATTATCTCCCCTTGAATGTGGCCCTTCATTTGAGCAAAATTGAATCCCCTTCACCCAAGGATGCTTTGTGGCAAGTTTGGTTGAAATTGGACCATTCGTTTCTTGAGAAGAAGTCGAAAATGTGAAAAGTTCACAGACAGACAGACAGACAGCTAGACAGATGGACGCCGGACAAAATGTGATCAGAAAAGCTCACTTGAGCCTTCGGCGCAGGTGAGCTAAAAAGTTGCCTTATCTTTCTTTGTGGTTGTACTAACATTTATATAATTAAAGAAATGTACTTGATGAATAATACACATTTATTTACTGAGTTCAAGAGAAACATGCGCTTTATTGTACTGAAACTTAACTGTTTGTTTGCGGCAGTTAGACCAAAGGCAGACAGTTTGGTTCAAGGTCAACAAAACACATTTTGCCCAAGAACACAGTCAATAAATGTTTTGTTATACCTTCTCTTTTATTATTTAAATATTTTGACACACATAAATCTTGTTCTGTCTTCCATGATAAATACCTCAGGTTAGTCACCTTTGCAAATGAGATTAAGCTCCCCTAATTCTGTGACGTAAGCGGTCCGGACTCTCATTGCCTGGTCAAAATCACCAGCACCCCTGACCCTGGGACCATATTCACAATTTTGTGTAGGGAGTAGGGGTAGGGACTATGAAATTCATAAATTATGTTCCCCTTTACCCATACATAGATGCTGTATACAAAATTTGGTTGAAATTGATTTAGTGCTTTCAGAAAAGAAACTGAAAATGTTCAAATGTTAACACATGACAGGCAAAACAGATAGCAATTGGTCACCTGAGTGACTCAGGTGACCTAAAAATTATATGGGAACACTTTTGGAAGTAAGAAAAGTTTTGAGTCCAGTCATTTTGAACAAGTAAGTCAGAAAACAGCAACCAAACTATTTTTAAAGGTGACCTGGGCACTTTTATTGCTATTGTACATTGTCACCAAAATCTTGACTTACTTTCACTGTTACTTTGTGTTGATGACCTTCTTCCTCAGGGTCAAAAATGTCAAAGGTCAACTTCTCTTCTACAATCAAAACAAGTTATGTGAAGAAATCTTACAACTTCTTGTTTATCACAAGAATGCATGAATGACAAATGTCAGAAGTACAGAAGATGAATAAATAGAGTACATGTTATACATTTAGGCTACTCACTGAAGGTAACCAATAAAAGCAGGGTTTTATAAAGTCATACAATCAAGGGCCTGAGCCTTTCAATTTGTGAAAAAAAACATAATCTAATATTTTGTAAATAAATTTAAATAAGAGATTTTCATTTGCAAGGCATTTTTTTGATTTTACATTCAGTCAATCAGTTTTTGGAGCATGCCTTTTAGTTACTTTTTTATTTTTTACAACACAATTCCTGATATACACGTTACTTTCTACAAAAGAGGGGGGAATATGTCACCGGGTTCAAAGGTGCATGAAAGTCAGTCAATATATAGGGTCTCAATAATTCAGTGGTTGGAGTGCTGGCACGGTGTGCCACAGGCCCTGGGTGTGAGTCCCGGTTGAGACTTGACTTTTCACCATCTGTGACATGTAACTTAAATCTTTATAATCAATTACTCTAAAATAAAGCAGAGAAAGACTTTTTTATACAATCCAATATACAGTTATATATATATATATATATATATATATATAAGAAATAATAATTGTACAGGAGACAATAATGTAATTCTGATTTGATTGAAGCTTATAAATAGCCTTCTGTTGCAAATATGAACAACAAAAGTTTATTGATGTTATTTATGAGATCTTTGTCATTGAAAAATTTATTTACAATTTCTGCAACAAAACATTCCGACATCTAAGTTGCAGCTCATATTGTTTTAAGCTAAAACTATGGTCTGCTAATAGATTCCAATCCTACTCTGATCTTAGACCTTAATATTTGACACATGGTCATATCACACTATGACTTTTCGTACATCCAAGAAACTGTTCTTAACTTAATGAATGTTTAAATTTTTGAACTTTAATACTTTGAACTTTCAATTTAGATGAAAAAGTGTTTTAAACAGGCCATTTCAAGTTTTTTCTAATGTTTCGTGTCCATACTTGCCTTGGATTTTTACATCTAATATCAGATCAATCAATTAAAATCAGGAGTAATATTAATGAAATTATTTATTCTAGTTGAGAATTTAAAGTACTGTTAATTTCCTTAAAAAAACATCTGTGTTTAATTTTTGATATTATACTCTCATGTAAATTAGTTGAATCTGATTTGTCGAGAATCATTTGTTAAAATACACTACCCTCTAAAAAAATAAGGCCATGGCCTCCAGCGTATAGCAACAGTCAACATTGCTTGATAACGGGTGATATTTGTAAAAATGAAGACTGCCAGAATTTAAATGTGCAAAGTTCACTGCTATCATTAGTGTTTCAGAATCAGAGGAAAAATACTATCGATTATTGAATCGAATCGGAAACACCATTTGGATTCACAATCGAAAATAATCGGACATTTCTCATGTTTCTTTTTTTTTCATTATGAAAGACCAATTATTGTGTTATTGATACGACTAAAGAACACGTAGCCCAATAGTTCAGTTTTAATAAATCTGGTGATTTTCTATTATCATTAAAGGAAAGGATTACACTTGTTTAAATATCAAAGAAAAACAATTTTAATAATATTTAATTATTAAACTGACCTTAATAAAAAATAAATAAATTGTGTTTCATTTTTTTTTCTATCATGTTTATAATTAAACTATTGATCACTTTAACTTGTTGAAATTTTGATTTAAGTTTTTGATTTTTAAAAGATGATAATTTTCATTAAAATTTTATTCCTGTATTTTAAGAAAAATAAAAGTAAAAGTTGAACAAGTTGTCTACCTTCATAAATGTTCACATTTGAATGGGCATGCATCATGAAAATAAAATAACACTACCTCTTTTGAATTCATTATATATAATAAAAAAATAGTAGCTTAGTGTTTAACTACTGTCTGACCTATTCTATATTTAAACAATAAAAAATAATGCATAAATTGTTAGTGGAAAGTAGAAAATATTGTTTCATGTGAGAACAGAGGAAATTCAGATTAAAAGACGATTTTTTTAAAGTAATGCTCTTAATGGCTATATTTCGTCATCAATTCTCTTGCTACCTATATAAATTATGTCTCATTGAAGGGAATATTATTTAAATTAAGCCATAATTATTATTTTCAAAGCACGTTTACGAATTATTCACCGACTCAGTTACCAGTGGTCAGCCTACATGTACAAGCACAGCGTTTAGTACAGGTGACGATCAAGAACTTGTGTGCACATGGAAGATGCATAAAAAATAAGCAAAGTACTATCTTTGAACAAAAAAGGTACTCTACACGAAAAAAAGACATTATATATTAAGATTTAGCATTATGTTTGAAGTATCTATATATTTAGCGACAATCGATTTTGCTGTTAAGCTATCGATTGTCGGCATCGCCAAGCTTTCAACAGTGCTCCAAGTCACACTTGCTCTCAGGTCGCAAAATGGCGACCTAAAAAATTTTTGGGTTGCCATTTCAGAATTTCTGGTCGCCATAATCAAATAATTCACTCGCCATAAAAAAAAAAACATTTTGTGAATAAAAATTGATAATTTAAATAAGGATATGTATTATGTCTTTACTATATCATAGATTACTTATTACTGTGACTATAAAAATTTGCTAGGTTGAATGAAATATTTTTATTGAATACATGTACCCTTATGGTTGTACAGAAGAACACAAGTAATCTGATTACAGAAATAAAATTTTATCAAATGAAAATACAAGCTTGACAGCTGTTGAGACAGGACTTTGCCTGCTGTTTGTCAAGTTTACTTACTACTACATACCTAAGCCATTACACAGTCATTATAAATGCCGCCAAAACACTCTTTATTTGCATGATAATACAATCATGATTCATTGTGATATGTAAGAAATTGATCAAATCCATCAATAACAAGGTCGGATCTTAAAAAGTGTACGAAGTTTGGATGCCATTCTATCAGGAACATTATTTATCCACGTCTCTTGTTCAAGTTCTATCAAACTTTGTACAGCATGCCATGCTGTCATAACATTACGTGATCTAAGTCCATGCAACGCTTTGTAAAGTGTATTTAAGTATATGTCTTCAAACATTTTCTTGATAGAGAATCTTTACAAATGAAATCTCGATCCCGATCTTAAAAATTGGACGTTTCCAGCCCAAATTTTCTCAGTCGCGATAATGCGAGTGTGTATTCATTTCTAGTCGCAAAATCAATTTTTTGGTCGCAAATGCGACCATTTTAGTCGCAACTTGGAGCACTGTTTCAACGACGATTTTTCGATCGTCGGCGACTATCGCTGAATCACTAGTTATCATGGTTATCTGTATAAAACATTCAGTATAATATAATACATACTGCATGTTGTTCGGTGTGAGGTTGAAAATTTTCAACCCTAGCAAACCATTGTCGACCTCCACTGCACCTCGATTGACAATGGTGATCTTGGGGTGAAAATTTTCAATGTTACACTCAACTACATGCAATATTTTTATATTATTTACAACATATTTTCCTGAGAACTTTTGCTATTTATATGTTTATACATGAAGTATAAATACCAGTAGATTCTTCTCCCTGATCCAATTTTGGATCTCTGGTATTGGATGTAGGTGTTTCCACCTCAAACTCTGACATGGTCTGCTTATTCAATTATTGCTTAAACTCCTGTAAAAGAAAAAAAAAAATAAAGTAATAATTATTTTTATTATTTTCCATGTAACAAAAAAAGGATAAAATGTGTGGCTAGATCCAAAATAAAACTCACCTGCGTCACTATAGTCAGGTGCTCTACCTATTTTTATTTTTATTTGGCCAATAAAAAAAAATATTAGAATTCTTGTCATCACGTCATCAACTTATTTAAATGGGGATTCACATGATATACGAGTCTACTAACAACATCATTTTGAAAAAAATAGCACATAATTCGACATAAATCTTTCAGATAGAAAAATATGCGAGTTTGAAAATATTCAGCTTATCCTATAGACGCTTTCCAGTACTTTCAGTACTTTGGTTTTCTCATGCTTTCTCCATGTTCTCGACAACTGAAAGAAGGTTATCATTTCTTGTAATGAACAGATGAATGTTTAGTAAACGACCGATTCTAGAATACGCCTGTGCAGCATGGGATCCCTGGAACTCCAAGCAAGTCCATCAGCTGGAGAAAGTGCAAAGACGAGCAGCACGATTTGCCACCAAAAACTACCATGATAACCACCCTGGGAATGTGACCCAGATGCTACAAGATCTACACTGGGAACCATTACAAACAAGAAGAATGAAGATAAGACTCGTCTTGTTATACAAGATTGAGCATGCTTTGGTGGCTATCCCTGCAGATATGTACCTGACACCCAGTGACAGAAGGACCAGAGGCAGCTACACGTACCGTCTACCACACACTCGGATCGATGCACATCGATATTCCTTCTTTCCGAGGACAATTCTAGACTGGAATAACTTACCATCTGTAGTTGCCTTAGCACCAACATTAGAGTCCTTCCGGACACAGGTGGACTCATACACAAGGAGCCAGCTGCCCACCAACACCAACTAAGTGTGCAGTTTTTAACTTTTCATTGTACATAGTGCCCTGATCGGGTTTTTAGCCTTGTCCGTCGCGTGTGACATTCCGAGTTCCACGCTCTAGTAAGAGTAAACTCGTATGGGAAGAAGAAGAAGAACATCTTTGTCTAAACAACAATTAGGCTAACTAATTTAAAATTACCTTATTTTTGTACTGGAGCTGAAACCAGGTCCTGGAAATATCACACCAAACTCCACATGCCGTGACTGCCTCCGACTTTTTAAAATTTTTTTGTGTAAATAAAACGAAATGTCGATCCCGATCCTAATGATCAGAGTGAAACAAAAGGGGTTCAGTGAATGAGTGAACAAAAAAATAAAATGAATATAAATAAATAAATAATTGATGCATAAATAAATAATTAAATCAAATTAATTAATAAATGTTTATATAATTAGTCACTCACTTATTCTTTTATTCAGTTATTTCTTCATTTTAATTCATGGAATTAAATTAATTTTCATCATGCTATTGTAAATTGAAAAAACGGGACCATTATTAACTCAATATCTATAAGCAAGAATTTTAAAAATAATCCTTACCTTCTAGTCTTAATAATAATAAAAAAAGACCATATAGGACTTAATTAATACCCATTGGCATTTTCTGTAACCATTAAAATTTTTGTGGCACTCGTAGTCACAGATTTTTTTTTTCAAATTTGGCTTCAAAGTACCAACTCATAAACTACATGTACTTCTAAAAATATTATAAGATCATATTACAGTTAAGATATTACCATGGAAACTGTGTCTAAAATTGTTTTTCCTGCAATATTTGGGAATGTTTTTAATGAATGCTGCTATACTTCAATTCATTTTACAAACAGATATAGAAAATCTGACATCAACATTAATTACATATGCAAAAACTGCGTACTGTAAATTGCATGGTTCCCCAAAACTTGGCAACCCATATAACCCCCCCCCCCCCCAAATAATAAAAAAAAACAGCCTTCGGCTCAGGTGAGATAAATTAACAAGAGGCCCATGGGCCTTATAGGTCACCTGAGCATTATGCAACAACTTTCCAGTTATGGACTTTGATTCATGTTTTAATCCAGATGATATATGGCATTCACAATTTTGAAAGAGGCACCATTGATCACCATAACAGTACACTTAGCAGTTGCTTAGCTTGGTTACTGAATACCCATACGCAGGGTAGGGGAACAAAAATGCATTCCAACTAATCAGTAATTACTTCTCATTTTAACAGGTACAATAATAATTTTTTTGTGGCGTCTACCTTTAGGCTACTATTATAAAAGGGGGCGGGGGTACAATGGCTATACTAGGATGATATCCACAGTTACACAATTAAATAAGTGTCCAGTGTGTTGGGAGATAATTGCAAATCAGGGTTTTCACCTGAAAACACAATGGTAATGCTATATAGAGTCTACGGTGAAAATATGGGTGGGATCTTGGACTTATCTCTTTGAAATATACGCGCCTGACAACTCGGCAAATTACCTGTTTACATAATGCGATCGGACCCTACATATAACCTTCGGAAAGGGGTTGCATCACTATGTTCAACGATTAAAAATACTCCACGGCGACGTACCATCAATTACGGCACTGTACTGGTATCGTACAAACAGAGATCTACCAAGCAGTGCCAAAACAAGTATGCCGTACAATGAGGATAAAAACTACATAACGAAATTAAAATGTGAAAAGACAAAAAAAAAAATAATAAATATAAATTACAAAAGATGTGTCTGTTATAAGTAAGTAAGAATTTTTTTCTGAAATTGGTAAATTTCACATAAATAAAGTTGTTGAGTATGCAGACGATATATCGCAGATGGATGAAAAATATAGCGGAAGTTGTAGCATATGCAATCAGGAATAATAATGACTAAAATGAATAGTAGAACCCACAGTAATAATTAAAATAACAAATTCCAAGCAATTTATTCCAAGATATAGCATGAATAATAGAGTTTGGCAGCAGATTACAGCTTATCCACACATGTAGAACTGCTAAGATAATGACAATTAACTCAAGAAATACATGTAGATTTAAGATGAAAGGTAGCTAATTCATTGCATGTAAAAATAAATACAAATTCTAACATTATCAGCCATTGTTGTCACAACATTTTGACCTACATGAAATATCATTACATGTAAAGTCCACCCACCCAATAACTATTACATAGTACATCATAGTTAAATTATAGTCATCTATGACAGGTCCTTACAATATATGTACATAAGATTGTCGAATTTAATCCTGCTTTATTTCTATCAACATGATAAATATACAGCGTTTCTAAGACGAAACATTTAATGTGTTCTATTTGGAGTGCAAGTAAAACAACCCAGGAATTATAGAATTTAGACACCACATGAAAAATACAGTAGCTGCAACTTAAGACACTTAGAATAATACAAAACATAGGTAATCAGAGATTACAGAGCTCACCTCAACGAATGTTGTCTTTAAGTAAGGCAATGTCACACAATTAACCAACAAAATGTATACATTCCAAAAATGAAAATATTTTTAAAAGCAATTTTGATCTGATACTTTGAAATAGACCTAAATAAAAAATTTAAACTAGTTCTTCTTCATGAAAATGTAATGAATATCCAGCATCTGAAGCAAATTTGAGAGTTTTCATCTCTTGATGCAGCATTATTGCAAGTTTCGTTTATACAATGTTATATAAGCCTAACAGTTTTTTGTAATAGACCTGCAACCATACCTTTTACCTTGTCTATTATCAGAAAAATGTATGTCAACATGCAAAACAACTTGGTTGGTTAATCCTTAGATGTATCATCCATGCAAGTTTGCTCATTATAGGGCTCATAATTTATTGGAAATGAAACATGCATTCAAAAAACTAACATTTTCACTCATCCACAAAAAGTAGGTCAGATTCAGCATCCCAAGCAAGCCTGGTAGTAATTGCATCCTTAAATGTATCATCTATGCAAGGTTGGTCATTAAAGAACTCACATTTCCCTTTGGAAATGAAGCCTGCCCCAAAAAACTTTTACCTTTTCACTCAACCGGAAAATGAGGTCAATTCAGCACCCCAAGCAAGCCTGGTAGTGTGCATCCTTAGATGTATCATCCATGCAAGTTTGCTATTATGGGGCTCTAATTTTTGGAAATGAAACATGCATCAAAAAACTAACATTTTCACTCATCCACAAAAAGTAGGTCCATTGCATCCCAAGCAAGCCTGGTAGTAATTGCATCCTTAGATGTTCATTATGCAAGGTTGGTATTAAAGAACTCATAGCCTTGGAAATAAGCCTGCGCCAAAAATTTTTACCTGTTCACTAACGGGAAAATTTAGGTAATTCAGCATCCGAAGCAAGCTTGGTAGTGTGCATCCTTAGATTTTCTCCTACAAGTTTGGTAAACATGGGCTTAAAGTTACTTGCAAATGAAACCTGCACCAAAAACATTAACTTGTTCGCTCAACTGGAAAATGTAGGTCAGATTCAGCATCCTAAGCAAGCCGGGTCGTATGCATCCTTAAATGTATCATCCATGCAAGTTTGGTCAACATGGGCTTAAATTTCTTGCAAATGAGACCTGCACCAAAAACTTTAACCTGTTCACTCAACCGAAAAAGTGGTCAGATTGCTGAAGCAAGCCCGGTAGTATGCATCCTTAGATGTATCATCCATGCAAGTTTGGTCAACATAGGGCTTATATTCTTAGAGTTTTCATATCTTGATGCAGCATTTGTGCAAGTTTGGTTTATCAATGTTATATAAGCCTAACAGTTTTTTGTAATAGACCTGCAACCATACCTTTTACCTTGTCTATTATCTGAAAAATGTATGTCAGCATCCAAGCAAGTCCATTGGTGCATCCTAATTTCATCCATGCAAGTTTGCTATTATGGGCTCATAATTTTGGAAATGAAACTGCAAAAAAAAACTAACTTTTTTCACTAACCCAAAAAAAAGTAGGCCCGATTAGACCAAAAAGCCTTGAATTTCTCCCTTAATGTTCATCTATAAGGGGTTTTAAAAACCCATACCTTGGAAATGAAGTCCAAAAAATTTTCCCTGTTCCTAACCAAAATGGGTAACCCCAAGAAGCCTGGTAGTGTGCATCCTTAGATGTAACCCATACAAGTTTGGTAAAACTGGGTTTAAAGTTACTTGCAAATAAACCTGCACCAAAAACTTAACTTGTTCGCTCAACTGGAAAATGGGTCAGATTCAGCATCCTAAGCAAGCCGGGTAGTATGCATCCTTAAATGTATCATCCATGCCAGTTTGGTCAACATAGGGCTTATGTTCTTGGAAATAAATGCACCAAAAACTTTAACCTGTTCACTCCCCGGGGAAAATTAGGTCAATTCAGCATCCGAAGCAACCCGGTTGTATGCACCCTTTAATGTTCATCCATGCAAGTTTGGTCAACATAGGGCTTATAGTTACTTGGAAATGAAACCTGCACCAAAAACTTTGACCTGTTTACTCAACCAAAAATGTAGGTCAGATTCAGCATCCCAAGGAAGCCCGGTAGTATGCATCCTTAGATGTATCATCCATGCAAGTTTGGTCAACATGGGCTTATAGTTACTTGGAAATGAAATCTACACCAAAATCTGCCCCAAAAAATGTTAACCTTCTCCAAAAACTTAACCTGGTCATTCCTTTGCTAAAATTGCAGCATCTGAAACTTTGACTGGTACAATGAAACACACTATAACCATCTTCCATGCATGTCTAATCAATATGGACACAGAAGTAATTAAAAAGAAAACTGCTCCAAAAAACTTAACCTTAACCTGGGACGCCGACGCCGACACCGACGCTGACCCCCCGCCGAGGGTATCACATAAGCTCCCTCCCAAATTCGCTGAGGTGAGCTAAAAATTACTCAGAGTGCATACTTATGTACTTGTACATTGAAATGCGTTAAAACCCGTTATTTATTTATTTACAAAACAAACTATGAGATGAGTCATCTTATGACTATTCAAATGTCTTTTCTCACTTATGTTTTTTTTCTTTCATTCATATGACGTTTAAGAGGCATGGTATCCGTTCGTTGGTACGTGATGTAATAAAACCCCCACATGTCAAATTTGAAGTCCCTTTAAATTGAAAATTCACAGTTATCCAACATACATGTTTACGTGACATTTATAAGAGGTACCTCCAACATATGCGCCATTTTCCTGCAACCCTCCGACTTATTTATCCAAAGTCCCTCTTTCATGTGCCTTTTTC